GAATAAAAGTTTGCTTGTCTCGACCAGTTATCGTGCCAAAATCTAGTGGAAGACCCATTTCTAACACGACGAATGATACCATTCCAGTATCAATGATGATTAACCGAATCCTTATGGGAAACACACTCTATATCATTGGCCGAAGTATTTTGGGGTTAACTCTAGGAAAATAATAAGAACTATTATTATATAATTATTATATAGTGGACCTCATGCCTAATAAATTATGGAAAGCAGACCATAATAATAAGGACCAAGTGGCATATGTTAGTTCCATCAGATATGGGTCTGTTTCTGTGGGGTTTAAGAATCAAGATTCGAGGTTCATGTGCATGATTATGAAACATATGGGATAACATGAGAACTCATAGAACATCTTCGAATATCTCAGTTTCTTTCCTCTTTTTTCTCTATCGGTTCATGAAGATCTCCAATTATGTTCTCCCACATATATATACTCACATAAGCTCACAAACACGTAGAGATAACGATTGATTTTTTGCTTGGAATTTTGAGCCCATGGAGCATCTGTTACTCTTTTTTTGCTACTTTAATTTATTTTTTAAGGATCCCTTTGCAACACTAAAATCAGATCATGCTTGTCGGTTCAACCAGTAAACCGATCTCAATACCGATACAGTATATCAATTATACCGGTTATACAATCATATCAATCAAAACTGGTTAAAATCGGTCATATCGGCCGGTTTTCAATTGAACCGTACTGGTCATACCGAACGATGTTTTATTTAAAATTAATTTTTAATAAAAAATAATATTGTTTTTATTTATTTTCCAATATTAATGTTAATATATTATATTATGTATATCTAACTTCACCGGTATGTGATTTAATTAATAAACCACTTATTAAACCGTTATACCACTATACTAGCACCATGACCGCTTGACTGATTTGATAACTTTTACGATATTAATAACATTGGTTTGAAAGTTGAGTCTTGGATGAGAAATAAAAATTAGAAAATTTTAGAGTCACATCATAAATGTATTTCATAATTTTGAAGTCTTTAATTATCTTTCATTTCTCTTCAAAATCTTGCATATCACTTTTAGGGTTACATTTTACATTTACAAGTTTTTAATTGTAATGATTGATGAGGTTGTCCTTAAATTATATATTTCTGAATTGTAGAGTACTATGGATAAATTTGGCTATAATTGCTAAAGAGGTATCACAAATTACCATAATCAATTGATGAGGTTAATGCTTAAAAACATCACTATTGTAATTTTTCTCCCTACAAAAAATTATAGTATAAGTACTAGAAAATAAGGTAAATTCAAGTGTGATCAAATTATAATAATTTGAGAGGATATATGCATGTAAATTGAATATGACTGAACTTTCTTGGTTTTGGAAGTACTTTATTCTTTCATGGTAAGACCTCCTTGGAGCTATCAAAAGCGGATCCAGACAATAACAATGATCCTTTTCTTTGAACAATACAAATCCCATTTTCAAATTTCATGCAAAAATTATAAAAGTGCACTGTATTTATTTTCTTTTACATAGACAATTGTTTTGTTTAAAATAAAAAAATATTGATAAAAAACTAGCTTTAGCATTAAAGTAGATATTATCCCCACCTTCTAGCAAGGGTTAAAGAACACTTACACCTATCATGTGTTACTTATTTTACTAAATACCTTATGTTAATATTGTTTTAAATAATATTGTTTTAAATTGCAGCCGTAGTCTCAATTATTATTATATTATTATATTACAATTTTGGAAAAATGTACAAATTATTGTTGTGTTATCATTATGGAGACTCCCGAAAATAACACCGTGCTATAATTATGGTTTTAGAATATAATTTAAATCACATGTTGTTAATTACTTTATGGAATGATCAGGGAAGTTTCTAACCTATTGAGAAGCACCATGCACCCACCATTTTATATTTCAATTCCAACTCCTTTTCAAGATTAATTAATATTATTGCAAAATATTCCAATGTTATATTCTGTTGTTAGACATATATGAAATCAACTTGGTATATATTAATTGCTCTCACATCTTTGTTTTAGTAATTAAAATTAACAATGTTTATCTTGTAATAAAAAAATGAAAAGCAAAGTGTGTAAGTTGGTTTAATGCTTCAGCATACATCAAATAAAGTTGTGAATCCAGAACCTACAAGGCCACCACATTATATTCTGTGTGAAATGTTTCTGAATATAGAATAGCACCATATGAAGAGCTCAACTGAAAAGTGCAAACAATAAAGGCTTTGTTATATAAAATATTTCTAGAATATTCTACTCATTCTTGTCCATAATTATAAGGCATCAATCATTTTGAAGATTTTTGTGGTCCTTTTTTAAAGGTATTTTATAATTATGAAAAGAGAATAAATTTATTAATTGAGGAGCCAAACTTCAGCATCAAAGTAGTCTACCCTACCTTCTATGAAAGGTTTGAGCAAGCCTACACCCATATTCATAGTTGAAATGATCGAGATCTTACATAAAATTGGAAGGCGTAAGTAAATACGTAAAGCATGTGATTATAACAAAGATCATAAAAAACAAGTTGAAGTATCACCTTTTTCAATCACTATAAATCACAATATTTAATACTTGACTCAAGTTAAAAGTCTTGAATTCCATAACTAATATATCAATACAATCAATTATAAACAACAAAATATTGGCATACTAAATTTTTTAACCTTACATAAGTGCACAACTAACATATTAACGTAGTCAACGAAAATGTATGATAGCATAAAAAATATATAATTTAAGAATTTTTAATATATATATATATATATATATATAATTTTTAGAATTAATATTAGTTGTTTTAACTTTGACGCAATAATCACACACACCTAAATTACTCTTTTAGCTTTCTGTCACGAAAATAAGTGTCTAGGCACTTGTTTTACAAAAGAAAGGGAAAAAGAAAATACAGAAGAAACAAAACAGAACATGATAATAGCAAAATATACCAATACCCCTCAACCAATCTATAAGCACACAATGACCAATACCCCTCAACCATTCACTATACTAACATACATGGAAGAAGCAAGGAAGCAATGCCAAAAAAGCTAAGATTTCTCTAGAGAAGAACCTTGAGAAGCAGAAGGGCGTCTCAAATGAGTGAAGATACTCTTTCTTCTTTATATAAGGCGGAAGATAATCAACAGCGTTCTTTTAAGCAAGAACTGTTAAATTTGATAGGCAAATATTGTTAGACTTTTATAAAATACTTTTCATGAGCCTTTGATGGTTCATAAGAACCCTTTAATTAGGATCTTGACATTATGACATTCACATGTGATAAATAAAGAGATCGAGAAATACCTGGTTCCATAGCGATATATCTTCTAGTGCACTTTCTGGTTGACTTCGTTCTCACATCTCCGCCTTCCCTTTATGCGTTCCTTGATGATTAGGAACTCGGTTTCCTTCCTTCTCTATATGACACTACACTTTCCTTAATGCAGCCACTAATACTTTGAGTTCTCTCTTTGTGTTTCTGGTTATGAGATAGCAAAAATCATAGCCTTTCTGATATGTGAGTGTCTCTCTTATAGAAGGAGAGTAGGAAGAGTTGTAACTCCTCTTCTATCATGGAAACTTCCATTCATGAAGTGAGAGGGGAGGGAGTTACTCATAACCCCCACTAGTTTGACTCATGAATTGCCAACCATCATCACATTAGGCACTTTAATTCAAACTAGTAACTTTTAAGCACATGGATCACTTGATTGCTGAAATAATCTAACAAATATAACTTCAACAATGCTCTTTGAAACAAATGTTGTTGTACAGTTACCTAAGATATTCAACATCACCTCTTTTAAGCAAGCACTGTTGTCGTGACCTGATTTTGGGTTGGAAGACCGGCCCTATGACTTAGGGAGAAGCGAACTCTATTTCTACCTCTTCCAAATGATTTGGACTCGCCACTACGTTTTTTGCGGATAAAACGTAGAAAACTCTAAATATGCCCAATTAGGATAATTTGGTCTTTGAACAGAGATTCTGAGCTTAGGAGTCGATTACGGATCGGGGAAGGTATTAGCATCCCATCTGCCCATATTAAAACGATACCCTCGCTAATAACATGGACTTTTATACCCTTAAATAAATTTATTAAAAATTCAATAATTAAAAGCAAAATGTTTTATTTTTTATTGTTGTGCCTGACAAGAGTTCAACTTGCTCATACGTATCCCTAGGTACAATAGGAAATCAAGACTACGTAGTTCTGGTTTGAAAAAGTTATTGAATTGGTTTGAGTAGTTTAAAAAATATGCAGTAGTTAAATCATGCAATATGATTTTTTCCAAAATACTTTTGATAAAAAATTAATAGTTTAGAGTCGGTGTTGGTCGTTTACCTTCTTCCCATTTTTGGAGAAGTTAGAGTCAACTCGAACCGTAACCTTACTATAAAATTTCCATTAAAATTCGTTTAAGTGATAAGGTAATTTTTATTTAAAACATTTTTGGTACATGGAATTAATAGTGTAGAGACGATGTTGGTCGCTCACATTCTTCTCATTTTCGGAGAAGTCAGAGTCAACTCGAACCGTAACTTTACTATAAAAATTTCATTAAAATTCATTTAAGTAATAAGGTAATTTTTATTTAAAACATTTTGGCATGAAATTAATAGTTTAGAGTCGGTGTTGGTCGCTCACCTTCTTCCCATTTTCGGAGAAGTCAGAGTCAACTCGAACCATAACTTTACTATAAAAATTCCATTAAAATTTGTTTAGTTATTATTTTTAAAGGATATATTTCAATTAATCTTTATGTTGATGTAAAAATCATATAGCCATTGCTTATTAGTTCACAGAAAATAAACTCTACTAATTAATTTTAACACAAAAGTTAATACAAAATCATGAAACAAACAAATATATAAATAAAAAGAATTAAAAACATTTAAGAATAAATTAGGCAAAAGGGGTAATACCCCTTATTTCACATCCAGCAAGGGAAATAATCCCTAAACTCACATTCCCTTATCCATTTCTTCATATCCATCTTCCTCTCTTCTCTTCGATTCCAGCGGCAGCAATTATAGAGGAGCACTTGTGTCGGTAGAGGAAGCAACCATGGAAGATGGCGGCACCAAGGCTAATGATCACGGCTCACAGGGGAGAGATGGTAAGGTCTTCTCCTTCTTTCCCTCTCTGTTGTATGGAATTTTGCATATGTATATAACAAATACCAATGTATGTATATCTCTGGTTTGTATATGTTTGTGTATGAGGTATTTTTGTAGTGGTTACGCTATTAAGAGGGTGATGGTTGAGTTATAGGTGGTGATTGAGAGACAATGAGGTTGAGGCGGTGGATAGAGAAAGATGACGGTGTGTGGTATCTGGATTGGGGTGAAAAAACGAGTGTTTTTTTTATGTATATGTAGCCGGTATATATGTGATATGTAGGTATTCTGTATCTGTCTTTTGAAATTGTTGAGGTTCATGAGAACCTCTAGAATTTCTGATTTGTATCCCCTCCTTCATTGCTTATATGATTATTCCTTTTTTATATTGATATATTCCTATTTCAAATCATGGTTTTAATGCTCTTTGTTGTCTTAGTTTTCACTCTAAATCTCTAGTTGCCTTATTGATACCACTATTTGATGTTCTATTTATAATTGCTGATTATCATCTTAATGCTAATCATTATTGCTGCCTGATTATGCTTAATTTATCAAGATCCTTAATATGCATATCTTTAGTGTCATCTTTTTTGGAAATATGTTGATCGATGAGTGTTGATTCCTTGTATTAAATGTATTTATTTAGTGCTATTTTTGGAATCTTTGTTGCTGATTTGATTTCTTTTCCTGATTTGATTTCTTCTCCTTTTCAGGGATTGAGTGTGGAGGTGTATAATTTGGGAGGATCTTCCCATTAAGCCACCTGAAGAAGTTAAAGGGGAAGGCGGATTTGGTTTCCTTTTAAGTGAATGTATCATGCTCCTTTTTAGTATCCAATATTGTTTATTTAAAACATTATATTCAGACATTACAAATTACAATTTTGAATTTCCTTACTATTTATTATTAGTTTTTTTTTTGGAATGTATTTTGGGCCGGACAAAATTGAGTGTTCACAACTGTTGATTTGAATCTATTCAATAACGTTTGCTTAAATAAGTGTTGTTAAATGTGACATCAACAACTTTTGATCATTTGAGTGGAATTTTTTGAATAAAACTTTGTTTCAACACTTATTTCATCACATATTGAATGATAGAAGCACCAGAATCACTAATCAAACTATTGGCTGTGAGATACACATATCTAGTGAATAGTGTTTTGATGAAATGTTATTTTTGTCATAACTTTTGAATAACTACTCAGAATTGTACATATTATATATGTATTTGAGGTAAAAAAAGTTCATTCTATGCAAAAGTTCCACCCTGAAATTCAAAATAAAAATTCATTTTGCTATTTCTTTTTTATTTTTCAAGTTTCATAGTGAATCTACTTTGCATTTTTAAATTAGTTAGGCTACAAATTTTTTCACGAAATTTTTTGTAGATGTTCTCTATGATTTTAGGATGTTATTGATGTAGGGTCTTGGTTGTTTACTCAATTCTAACATGCATTTCTATTACTGTCTTGTTTGGTTGCTACTGTTGCATGTAGTGAATAGGAATTTACCTTTACATACTAAGTCTTTTGATAGAGTTAGTGTAGTTGACACTCACACTATTTCTGTCCATTCTGTTTTGATATTTTTAAAGGTGACATATCAACAGCGCTCATTACAATGAGTGATGTTAAAAGTCACATATTTAATAAGGCTAACTTCAGATAGCGCTATTAAAAGTCACCATTTTTGTTTCGGTGGGTGCTAAACTTTGCAGATTTAAAAACAAAATCTCACACATAATAATACACATATTACTCAGTATTCTATTTCTCTTACTCTATCTTATTCTCTTAGTTTCTCTCTTCAAAAAAGTTATTAACTTTTGGTTTATCTCTTCGTGAATAATTGTTTTATTTTACCTCATTTATTTCTCTTTTATTCACTCTTGCTGCTTTCATTTACATCTACATTAACTTCTTATCTTATAATACAAGAAATATCAATGTTGAATCTACGTGAAGCTGTTGGTAATTTACCAAACTTGTAATCTTTGTATGTATTTCTTGTATTTGATTATTATTTTTTCATCCATATTTTCTACGTAAATTTTGATTTGATTCTTATTATATTGAATTTGAACTGTGTTTTTCTCCTCTTATTTCTTCAGTTAAGAGAGAGAAGAAATTCATAGGTTTATCTTCTACATCTTCATCACCTTCGTCCCCTTCATTACTGCATATAATCTTTTGGGTTAATGAATTTGAAATAATGGAGACAAGTTCTTGCAATGGTTTATAAATGTGGTGAAATTTGATATGCTTGTTATGTGCTTGATAAAATATCTGAGAGATATTTTGCCTTATTTAAAATAAGTGTTGTTAAATGAGTGTTGTTAAAGGTGATATATCAATAGCGTCCATTACAATGAGCGTTGTTAAAAGTCATGTACATATATAACAATGTTTGTTGGAGATAACACTGTTTTATGTAAGACATACAACAACGTCCGCATAAGTGCACTTAAAGCATATCATATACTACTGCGCTCATGTAGACATCACGTGGAAGCACTATTATATCCCCTAAATGTACATTATTGATTTAGATCTCTAGAGCAACGTAATGATAAGTTCAAATAGTATAAGATTCAATTTATATTCATTATTTTTGATTCGTTACAAATTGTATCAGTAATTCTATGGATGTGTTTAAATTACTTTTATACTATATTGCAACTAACCAAAATAATGAATAAACAATGACTTTTTTAAATTTGGACTTGTCTTCACAATATACCATGTTCTATTTAACTTAATTACACTCATCACCATTTTTTGTTTAAGAAATTATAGTTATTTCTGCCATATGAGTAGTCAATGTAATGTATGTATATAATTAAGGGTGATTTGTATAAATTTAAAGAATAGATTAGTGATTTGTGTAATTTCACTAAAATACAAAAGATGTTAATATAATTTACGCTAATTAGTTTTATATGGTGATTAATACAAAACATATAAATATATAATTAAAATTAAAAATTGGGTACCACGAATACCGGGTACCGTATAAGTATTCGTAAATATTGTGTGGTTAGGAACGAGAAAACACTATTCATATCCATCTGATCTCGTTGTCATCCTACTCACTATTTAATCATGTCTATCCAAATATTTTAATCCTCACCTCTAAAGTATTGACATTACTTCAAAATCTAAAGTGAATAATTATGGTCATTGATTTAAAACAAGAGTGCAATATACATGTATTGTGTATGTAAAGATATTTTATATACCTTCATTATATTATTCATCATTCATTTATATTATTTTATTTGAAAAGACAACGATGATTAAAAATATATGGTAGATGATAAACTCACAATGCATATAACTCGAGTCAGACTCCACTCTATTATTGGAGATGACAGTTAGCTGAAAATACATAAATAAAAAAAACAACAAAAAAAAAAGATATTTTTATCCCTTTCATAAAACTCATACACATTCATCAATATATTTTTTCTTGTTAAAATAAATGGTTGCTATCCTTATAACTCCATCATTTGTCATGCGTGTAAACATATTATCACCCTTCATTTCAAATTCAACAATTATAAATCCACATCTAGCGTGCGTTTAGTATAGATTATGTTTTTATTTTCAGTTTATAAACTGTGAGATTATAAACTGTTAAGATTATAATCTGTTTGTGCTTGAGTACTTTAGCTGAAAATTGAATATAATCTAATCTGTTTTGTTTGGGTATGATATAAAATTTGTTTTTACATAGTAAATTACATAAAAGGGTATGAGTTTATGTGTTTATGTTATGATTATTTTGGTTGTTTTTACACTAATTTTTAAATATATATTTTTTAATATTTATCATCATATATATTTTAACTTTAATTTTGTAATATTGCATAACAAATGCTAAAAAATATATTAAAATAAAATACAATATAAAAACTAATATTAATATTAAAAAATAATATAAGATCAATATAAACAAATAATCTCATACATAGTTAAACATAAACTAAAAAACTAAATTAACCCATGATTTTTAATATTGCATAATAACAAAGGCTAAAAAAATATTAAAATAAAATACAATATAAAAATCAATATCAATATTAAAACAATATAACACATAAATAAATGGAAGTTATTAAACTTAAATTACATAATTCACAAAATAAATAATACATAAATGTTAAGTTTTATACAAAAGTTTTAGGGTTTATACATGATTCACAAAATTTTAATATTATATAACAAAAGTTTTATACATAATTCTTTGTTCGTGTATTGATAAATGAAAGTGTTATGGATAATTATGGGGTTGAGTGGTGATAGAGAGAGAGAGAAAAAAATGAGAATTATGGAGTTTGGTGGTAATGATGTGAAGAGTTATTGTGTTTGATGGAAGAGTAAAAAGGAGAAGAGAGATAAAGTTAAGATGGGGTAAAATAGGAAATAGAAAAATTGGGAAAAAATAAGCTAAAAAAAATAAACCAACCCATGATTTTGGAGCTTATATTTTTGGCTTATTTTTTCAGGAAAAAAAAAGCCGAGTTTATAAACTTCATTTGGTTACCAAACATACATAGTTTATATTTTCAGCTTATTTTTCGAAAAATAAACTTAAACTACTAAAAAGAAACTATGCCAAACAAGCTAGTAGAGTCTAAAGTGAAAATATAACTTTTTTATATGCCAAAGTGTAACATTTTTATTATAAAATGCTAGCTTATTTATTTCATTGTTCTACTTCTACGTAGAAACTTATATTTAGATAACATATATATTTTGAGAATAAAATATTTTATAATATTAGGAGATAAATATTCTGTTTAGGCATTAAAATTATTGCATGTCATATTTTTTAGCTTTTAGAAATAGTTTTTGTAAAAAGTAATTAAATAGTACATGTGTCATAATTTTAGTGGTTGGACGAGATAAGTTATCGAGGAGATACTTTATCATCATTTTTTTTATTTTAACAAGTATATTAAACAAAATAATAACAAAGTCATTTTAAAATTATGAGTAAATTAGATTGACACTCTCTGAGTTTTAGTAAAATTACACAAATCACATATCCATTTTCTACTCCTACAAAAAACCCTAATTTTATATACATACATTATAATATAGTATAACAGTGATTTAAACAATATATACTTAGAATTATTGATGCATTTTGTATAAACCAAAAATAATGAAAATATATTGATCATATACTATCTGAACTTGTCTAAACAATATACCATATTTTATTTAACTTAATTACACTTATCATATTTTTTGTTTAACAAATCACATTTATTTCTCATGTAGGGGTAATGAATGTAATTATTTAATTATTTAATTATTTAATTATTTTATTTAATTATTTTAATTATTTTATTTAATTATCATATTTTATTTAATTATTTTTTTGTAGGTGTAAAAATGGAGAAGTGATTTGTGAAATTTTACTAAAACTCAGAGAGTGTCATTGTAATTTACTCTAAAAATATTTAATAATATAAAACATATTACACCAATTATTTAAATTTTATTCGCTTAAATCTAGAAAGGGGAAGAAAAAATTCATGTTAACAAGTGTTCTATGAATGATTTAATGAATAAAAAAATAAATTGCCTAAAAATTTAAAAGTGATGCTTTTAAATTTTTAATGTCTTAAATACTTAAAAGTGATGCTTTTAAATTTTTAATGTCTTAAATACGTCCATTTGAATTAGAAAAATAATAATATCTTTTCAACTTTATGAACCATTTTGATTTCCTTAACCAATATGGAGAAATAGTGTTAAATGAGTATATCTATATGTTTGCAAATTTTGTCTAACACTGCCACAACAAGTACTGTAATAGGATAGCACAGAAGAATAAAGTGTAATGCACAG